TTTCAGAAGCTCTTTTCACAACTTTTGTATACAACTTTTTCCAATATCAAGTTCAATTTCGGAGGAAATAATAAAAAACCATTTTTTGCCCTTAATATAAAACTTATTTCATACCCCGCATTTTGGATCAACTTTAATTTTTCCCGTAATGAGCACACTATTTTGTTTTCGTCATTACTATTTTTATGGTGTTATTAGTTTTTTTCTGATCAACAGTTAATGGCATTGGCCTAATTGTGAGCTCTACAACTTGATTCATCAGGAACAATTTGATTCATTTGCTTCTCTTAATTTTGAAATCCAGATGAAAATTAACGGCTATACCTGGTAAATGTATTGATTTCTACGTTTCCATTTCTTTCAGTTCGGAGACAATGCGTCGCCCTAGCGTAAATTTTGATGATGTTCTAGAAGAATTGGGGGAACTAGGAACCTTTCAAATCTTCACATATATTCTAATATGTCTGCCAGTATTGTTTGGTGCATCAAGTAGTTTGAGTTATGTTTTCACGGCTGGAGTTCCGTCATATAGTGGATATTCCAACGTTTTGTTTGAATACATTGATGATAATACCTTGCTTGAGATCTGAAGAAAAGTCTAAGTCACACTGTACTTTAAACTACTATAAATTGACAATTAGTAAGGAGCACATTTTAACACTCACTCATTCACTACTTTAATGTAGCCGATATATATTCTGTGACCTTCCTTTGCCTATTATGTAATAGTTAACCTTTCGTGTTGTATTTTCTAATGCCTTATCTGCCTCCGATCTCCTTTCAGCATTGTAATTATCTCCAGTTTACTTTTCAGGACTGTCTTGGTGGGCCTATATCCACAAAGGCGGTATTTTTTTCCATGAACTGTTCTTGTTCTATCTGTTTTTCTACTTTTTTCCAATGTTCATTCAGTGTGGCCATTTTGTTTTGGCTAGGGCTTGTAAAATCTTGTGACATTGTTCTTCTCTATTTTTGCCCGTAGGTTCTGTGGTAAGAATATAAGGTTCTTTTTTTTAGGACAAAGCACAAGCACTACAGAAAAATCTTTAAGAGCGGTGCCATAGTTCTGCAAATGAAAGAGTTCTTGAAAAGTGAAGTTCGAGGTGTACTGAGTTGAACCTCAAAACTATGAGCAGTCACAGTCCATGGCGAATTTATGATATGTATCGCTCTTGGTAGAATCAAATGTACCAAGTCACTTGAACACTTTCCGTGAAAGTATCTATAGAAGGGAGATAAAAAATCCCCAACTATTCTTCGATGTTCCAGACTATCAAGGTTGCGAGTGAATTTCGCGTCTCTAATCAGGCGGATGACTCTTTTCTGGATGGAATCCTGCAGCTTCAGGGTATGCTTAGGGGCGGGGTTCCAAACATTAGAACAATAGAGCTTTATAAAGCATCAAAAGTTGCTGCGTTCCCCTTCGGAGAGGGTTTTGATGGTAGTAAATACTCGCAGTGTTTCTCAGCCAACTTCAACCTTTCTCTTTGGTCTTATGGGTCATCTATTTTAGTATAAAAGTTGATCACTTTCTTTTGGCTTGTAGATGACAGCCATATTTGCTGAGTCAAATTCCTTATCTTCTATTACCCACATTGTGTCAAATTCTGTTCAGATATTTGTTGCTTTCCTGTTAGTTACAAAGAAAGTCTCTTTTCTCTCTTTTATGTGCTGTTCCATATTCGCTGATGAAGTCTTCTAGTTTCTCGAGAGTTTGGGATTTTTCCTGCTTTTGAGAGTTAAGGGGTGGGTTTTCCATATTATTGTCGTTTGCTATTGAGTCTTTCTCCAAGTCCACTTCAAATCTTGTTGGAGTCGCAGTTGTCTTTTCATTACCTTTGGTGGGTTCCTTCTTAAGGGCCATCTTATTCAGGTTCATGGGGTTGGTTTTCTTCAAGAACTTCCTCACTCTGCTGAATTCTCCGTGCTCTGAACCCAGGGGGTGCTTCTTCATTTATTGTGGACTTCTCAATTGGATGTGGAGGTAACAACTCCAGCGAAAAGTGTGGTGGATTTAATTCTTGATCAAATTTCACTGAAGATGTGGTGAATTATTGACTTCGCTGATTTTCAAGTGAGTCGAAATGTGTAAGACTTTTTGTAGGACAAAAAAATGGAATGTACCCAAGCTGATAACTATTTCGATGGCTGTTTTTTTCAAAAAAAGTGAGTTTCTTTTGGAAAGTGTAGCAGAACTCACTGTACTGATAGCACTCTGTGTATGTTCTAGGAAATTATAATGAAAAACTTTGCAAACCCTAACAAATTTATGGTGTTGATTCCTGGGATGTCAAGATGAACTACAGCCTTGAACCCGCGTCTCATAATGAAGTCATTTTCTCATTTTCAATTTTCAAAGAATTATTAGATTGGATTTATGTTGGAACTGGGACTCAATAAATCATCTAGAAAATTTGTGTTGATTTGTCACGATTGTTTGAAATTTAAAACTCATTTTGCACGAAACACAGTATGTAATATAAATCGTGTGTTCTATTCTGATGATTTTTCTCGCCACACAAAGTTATAATCGTTCTACAACAGTCTTGGCATACTTTGAGGACAGAATGGGGATATCATACCACCATATAGCTTATCATCCTGAGGAATACACGGTGAAATCCTGAGGATGCAACGCTGTAATGTCCTACAGTAACCAGGCTGTGATGAAATTGGGATATCCTTCGAATCATATTCCGGGAAGAGACCGACATCGTCTTTGGGATGAGGTGTAGTGCTATTTGGGCGCTATCAATGGGTTGAGTATATCGGTCGGTAGCCATTTGATTAGCGTGGGTGATTCTTTCTTTTCACTTAATCAATCGCTATATGAAGTTTGGTTCGAATCGAAATGGAAGAATAGAAATTTATTAGGTTTCAAATATCAACTCGGAGAATCCATATAGATATATTGCGATGTTATTACTGTTCATGAAAACGGCTTGAGCCATCATATCTTATATCCAAAGATTGCAATTCTCATCAAATGAAAACAGTTTTTTTCTCAAACGAACGTTGGAGTATTTGCAAACCAAGGAACGTTGTTGAGAACCACTCAGCTATATTGAAAGGAGCGTACCGTAATACGTATAGAAAAACCATAAATTAGAACTTTGACAAATGACGAGTGATGACGACTTCTATACTCAAGGTATAGGAAATTAGGAAGTTAGGAGGTCCGGATTACGGAAGACCGCTCTAGAGATCTGTTGTCGAAAGATGCGAACTGAGACAGTACGACAGTACGACAGGCTTTAGCTTTGATTGGGAAGGAGCGTTCCAAAGAACGACGACACGGATGTAAGGATTCACTTGGAGTATTGGTGGAGAGTTTTGGGTGCCTATCCGGTGTTTACCGGACGGACAATACAGGTGAAAATTTGTATTTTTCCTACATACCGTCCGACACGTACTAAAAACCGCAAGATGAAAAATGAAACCTTGTTAATAGCCCGCACTTTTGCGAGTTGTCTTTCTTAAGGGGGTGACAGCTGGTTGACAAGTTAACGTGAAGATATACATATCTTTTATCAACATTCAACGGAAATGTTTTCAGTGCTATTCTTGTGGAATACAGGATACATTTTTTTATCACGGCTATGAGTTTTTGATTTCACAACGGGAAGATGAAAATAATTCACATTTGAAAATTCACTCGGAAATTTTTATATCAACCGGTACTCGAGATAGTACCTATCATCATGAAGAGATATTGTTTTTTTTGGATGAAAAATCTTTTTGATGTTCTACTTGTAATAACTGCCATTGCGATAGTAACGTAAAATATTATTTCATGCATGGGAATCGAGGTTGACTACCCGGTTCTTCGGTGTCGATTATTTCCAGATAAAAAAGCGTTTGAACTACTTAATGATTGTCGGATCTTTGAGTGTCGTTGTGATCATTTACGAGTTCGGCTAGACTAAACAAATGTATATAGGTATTACATCCTGCCGATGATCATACGCTTGGGAAAGTTAAAACCGCTGGATGAGGTTTTTGTGGCTAGCATTGCTGACACGAGGGCTTGGGAGTTTTTGCGAGAGACACGAAAAAGTCGTTCACCGGAGCCCGTCGAGACGAGATCAGGGTTCTCATCCCTCAGCTTTCGAGGCTGAGGAAGGTGGCCTAAATAGGGAAGTTATTTTGTTTCCAAGCGCGCGATGCGAAATTTAAGGAAAATCGGTAGTGAAATTGTAAACCGGTAATGGGTACAGGGAAGTTGAAAGTAAAAGTTTTGGTATTGGAGACACACCGGGTAACCGGAACCTATGGTTGACCATGAACCACCAAAGAGGCGTTATGTGAGTGTTTGTTTTTTTTACTAATCAGTTGATTTTGAGAAAGAGTTCACATATTATTTTGTCTGAGTCCACTTCCTACTTGCAAAGATGTTATATATTGTTGGATCCCTACTGCTGATTGTTCAACTAGAGTTAAATTGATTAAGGCTTTCGCGGTTAAGATTTTCAGTGTTACGATCTTCGTTCGGGTTTGAAGGTTGTCGTGGTTTGGAACTGTATCCTAACTTTTCGCCAGCACGAGTGGCTGGTTTCTTCAGAGGTCTATTCATACTGATGGTTCACCGATGACTGTCATGGGTGTTTCATACGTAGGTTTTTAATAAAAAATGTGCGAGAAGCGAGAAGAATGTGCAAGGAAGAGAAGCCGTCACAACCAGTGCTTGTACTTCCCTACATCAAAGGGTTGTCGGAAAGGATAAGAAGAATTGGGTCCAAGTACAACATCAAAACCTGCTTCAGATCCGGAAACACCATCCGTAGCACCCTCACGAAAACCAGGCCATAATGAAGCGGAAAATGGTCAACTCTCGCCGAACGGTCATCTCTCGCTAAACCGGTGATGCGGAGAGGGGGAAGAGGGGCCAGGGGGAAAATCTGTTCAAAATCTGTTTTTCCGTTAATCAGCTGTCGCCTCCATACGAACGACAACTCTTAGAAGTTGAGAAACTTGTGCGAGCTAAGGACTAAGGAGGTCTTACTTTTTAACGTGTGATTCCTAACCTTTTAACGTATGATTCCTAAAACGGAATCACCCGAATAACTGATAAATAGTCTTCTCTTGAAGGAATAGTCCAATCATCACCCGAAGATTATTATGTATACCAACAATCGAAACGTCGTGAAGTTACTTGGATTGAAATCTTTCAATTTTTTATTTCTCTTTCAATTCAATTTTATTGTAACTTCTTTTCAGGGTCTTTTGCTCGGTATAATTTTCATTTTCAGCTACTCTTTTTGATTTTCATTTTTATTTGTTTTTTTTCAGAGATTTCAAATCATACTATATCTTATTAGACAATGGAAGTCCGAACTAATGAAAAACACTATGAAACTCTGTCAACCACCTTCAAACAAATTCAAATGTAACTGAAGACCTTACTGAACGAATGAATAACAGTAACATTGAAATGTTCAATTTATGGGGTCCAAAAAGACAATGTGTCATATATGTTGATGATTATTATCTCACTGAATAGGTACTCTTGTGAGATATTTTAGT